AACGGATTAGAATGGTGACTGTCCCTTAGGTGCACAGAAAGACCAACAGAATATTGACAAGTACCCCCATGGACGCAGAGTAAAGCAAATGAATAAATAGCTTGCAACAGGATTAACAGAGGCGCTACAGTCCAATTACTGAATTGTACTTAGAGCAATGTTGAAAACCAACGATTTAACCTAAATAATGCAGTTCCTGTGCTGAATAAACAACTCATCTTAGAAAACATGTAAGCATTCACTGGAGCACTGCATCTATTTGAAAACTGACAAAATCCCCAAATGAGAGCAGGGGTTAGTTAAATCAAACCACAGTACAGCCATACAATGGAATGCTAAATACACAACAGAATAAATGAGATAGTTACATGTATGTGAAAAAAAAAAGTTTAAGATGTTAAGTGAAAAGAAAGTAGGGAAAAAAGAAAGTGAAGCCCATTTTCAAATACATTATAATAAAAATAAGTTGATTTTTAAATGTTAGTATATGCAACAAAATGTGAAGAAATATGCAAATACAATGATTTGTTCTGGAGAAACACAGTGGACTTTGTTTTATGTTCTTATGAGGTTTTAATTTTTAAAGTCGTATGTATTACACTTATAATAAGAACAAAAAATACTTTTTCCTTAAGAAAAAGTTTTTCTGTAAACAAAATAGTTTAAAAGTTTACCTTGTAATCTTCTACTATAGATTTCTACAATCCTAGAAGAGAAAGAATTGTTTTAGTTAATCATAAATTGTTTGAAGTGAAATCGGTAAGGCTTCCTCATAAGACTAAAGAATAATTTCTGTATTGAAGCAATTGGAGGGTGTGGGTAGGGGAGTCATGCTTATAGGAAGAGGATAGAAAGATACATAAACTACAAGAAAATGAGAAGAGGGAGGGTCTAAAGGAGACCACTAACCACGACACACATGTTGCTTCCCTCAGTCCCCAAAGAGAGAAGTAAGTGTAATGTTCACTTAGGAAAAACAACAATTAGAGGTGAGTAATTTTCAAGATCCCTAGCTATCAATTTTAGACCAAGTCTCCAGTGTTCTAATTAATTATATTGTTTAATCAGAGCTTAAAGTTCAAGTAAAAAATAAAAAGACTATTTGTTAATTAATAGCAGACCAACGTCAACTACGTACCAACTAAACCTATTAGGATAATCAGATTAGAACTAAACAGACTTCTTCAGACACCTCTTTATAAGACAGGTCTACATAAGCACTCAGTAGGATTAACCCCCCAGAATAAAAGCCCCTGATCTTAGCTCATAACACAGTCTGTCAAGTGATGAATTTCCTCTTTCAACATCATTTACTCTAGTTGTGAAATGGAATGAGGGCCACGTGAATCACCCACTTGAGGATTCCAATTCACATGAAGTCTCTTTTCCTTAAAATCTGGCCTTTTAGTCATGAATTTGGACTTAGTTTAAGGATCAGCTCACTTCTGAGGCATGTTACGGCCCTCCGCCCCAGCCCCCCCACCACTATGCTGCTCAGATAGAACTGACACCTTGCTTCTTTGTACCTGGGATAGCCAACGACGTCAGTCACACGTCTGCCACCCTACTATAACAGGAATGCCTCTAACATTATACTGTCACCCATGGTGCCTGCCCATTTCTGGTGGGTAGCTGCTATCATGCCAAAGGAAGGTCTATTGAGTGCCTACTATGTATATGATTATGTGGTGAACAGAGCCTCTATGCTCAGAGAGTTTATAATTTCTTATTCCTAGTTTATTCATTTTTCAAGTAATGAATAGGTCTTGAATTTCTATTTTCTCAGCATTAAAGATACTCATATACTGTATGGTCACGCCATTCAAGATGGTTAACCTCTTGCTCTCTTTACGTCCCCTGCTTGACTGGTCCCTGCCTCGCTCACATGACTAACCAGTCTTCCTAATGATAGGGCTTAATCGGTAACTGCCTACATACTTGCCCCCTGCCCCAGCCGCTGGTTTCCCTGGTAACTGATGAGCCAACCTGACGTCAGTTCCCCCTATAAATGGTAGCCTCATTCTACCCCAAGCAGCGAAGATTGCTGCATGTGCCTTAACGGTGGGTGTTGCTCCAGTACCCTACTCCAGGACTTGTAAGGTTCCCTGTCCACTAAACTGCTGATGTCTCTGTCACTGTCAACAGGGCTCTTTGTTTGGTCTTGAGGCTGAGCAACTACAGGGCTTGCAGGCCTGTGAGGTGTGTCCCAACAGATAGCTTCTTTGAATTTAAAAAATCTTTATTTTGCCCTCACTCTTCAAGGTAATTTGCTGAGAGGTACTTGTTGGGAATAAAATTCTAGTCCGACTCTGATACTTATCTGCCTTTCAGTATTGCCCCTGGTAAATGGGTGGTCAGTCTAATTGCTGTTACCTTGTAGGTAATATTTTTCTGTGGCTTCTTTTATGGTATTTGAGTACGTGTACTCTGCCATTGCCTGCATTGTGTCTGGGTGGAGACTTGATTTTATTTGGCCTGTTTGGGATTTATTAGACTTCCTGAATCTGAAGACTGATATGCTGCATGTGCTCTGGAAATGTCTTCAGCTGTTACCTTCTCTAATTTCACCCCTACCCCATTGTGTCTTATCTCGGGAATTTCGGCATGTTGGAGCTTCTCCGTCTTCCATGTCTTAAGTTCTCAATCATGTTTTCCACCTGTGTTGCCTTCTGTGCAATTGTTTCGGACCTTCCTTCCAGTTCACTAATTTTCAGCTGTGCCAAATCTGTTGCTTTAATATGAGTGTATTGGGCTTCAGATTCAATTATCACATCTTTTTCCCCTAGAAGTTGTAATTGGTCATTTTACCAATCTGCCTATTTAATTCTGAAAGTTTCGTCATCCTTTGTCAAGCTTTCGGGACTCTATTTTCTAACACACTTGTATATTCCATATCTGTTAACTCCAGCATCTGCCCTCTTTGACCATTTGTTTTAGCTGACTCTGGCTCATGGTGGCTTGTTCATATGCTCTTAGGAAAATTTGTGGGAATTGTTTGAAGCCTGGATAAAAGTGGATCAGAATGTGCACTTGATTCTGCTAGGTTACCTCCTTAGTGACATCTTAAATTAGTGCCTTGCGTTTTTTGAGAACCACACAGGTAATATGAATTCTGGCCCCAAACCTAAGTGAATACATGCCTAGAGGTTCTTTCCCCACCTTCTAGTATATTACTTTTATAGCAGAAACAGGGAAAAAGGGCCCCTTTGTAATCTCATGCCTATCCTCCCAGTCTCCTCTGCCTAAATCTCTTACTTGTTTTAACCAACCTGCTCCCTACCCTCTTATTTCCCTTTATTTATGCATTAACTATACCTAGAGGAAATTATCTTCCATTTAGAATTCTGCTCAGCCCTCCAACCCTGGATTTCTCCAACCCTACCAGGCACAGCCATCTTGGCACCTCTGAACTCAGAGCTCCAAACCAGGCATTTCTGTGGCAGCTGCTCCTCATACTGTCCACCCTCCTAGAGGGTAGCGGCTGTTTCCTTCTTTCTAGCGGCCACAGTAACGGACCCAGTGCCCTTTCACAGTAGGTGCCCAGTAGATTAACCATGGCTACCCAAGGCACTGCAATTCTATATTCAAGATTTACTTATGTTCAATTACTGTAAAGCAGGAAAACTAATACATGTCCAATGGGTCTTCAGCAACAAAAGGAATTTCTATTCAAACTAAATTTACTCTAGAATTTCACTAGAGTTAAACCAGATCAACTCACTCCTGGCATTTTCTTGTTACTTAAGGCTTTACTATTTGATATTTGACTTTTCTGGCATCGAAAGGTCATTCGTTTAAAAGGAAAGCATAGAACAAACTTCACATGCAAGATTAAAATGAGTGGTAACGTTTTGCTAAGATATTCAGCTTTATTACTCTTCATTCCCTAAATATTCCTACTTCGTATAAGGAATAAGCAGTTGGATAAAATCTTAGTCTTCTGTTTCATTTAATAGACTATTCAGATTTTTTAACAAAATATCCAAAAGTAACATACTCAGTTATTTGATCTATAATTCCGTGTTTTTCTTATATTTTAATCCTGTTAGTACAAGGACAAATCCTCCTGTTAATAATTAACTCCTTTGTATTGTTTCATAAAAGCTTAATTATTGGAGATATTTTCCTTTCGCTAAGAAAGGAAATAACCAAAGGATACTCCCTTCTACCCCCAAGGCACCATTTTTTCCAAGATCTCACAAGATGACCCTCAAACAACTTTCTGTAAAATGTTGCCCATAGTCTACACAGGGTGGTCTTCTAGAGAAGACTGCTTACATTAAGATCATGGCCTAATGTGGTCTGCTAAGCTTTTTATAATATGAAAATTACTCCATACCTTTTACACATGGACAAGATACGGGTAATTTCAAAATTTCTATGTAAGAAAGATTTAGGAATAGCAATCTTGCTGGAAGAAAGCATACCACAGGGCTGGGCCTACAGCTGTGTTTGCATACTGATCTTACTTAGACTGTGCATTATAAAACAGTAAGAATAACCAATTGTAGTAAAAGCACTTTTATTCAGTTGACATTAGTTATAATTTGGGAGTAAGTTAGTGGGGAGGAGGTTGTTAATAGAAATTATAGTATGGTTAATTACTCCATCACCACCAACACTGTTTTTCAGCCACTCCTTGGCACTGCCACTGAGTACAGATCACTGAAAGGCAGCAAGATGTTTGGATTTGTGTTAAGAGCCTTAATGCAGTGAAGCAGTGATGGTTACGATGTAGTAACATCCTTTCATGGTACCAAGTAGCCCTGACTGGTAATGAGATTACTGAGCAGGAATGAGGTCAGAAACTAAGGAAGTTAAATTTCTCTCTTCTGCCTACTTTCTTCTTAATCCTAGAAGAAATAAATGAGAAAGTGGAAGTGAAAACAGGAGAAAAACAGCTGTGGAGAGGTGTCAGAGATTACTGGGGTGGTGTTCACAGGTTCCAACACAGACTTAAAAAAGTTCTGGACCATCATTTAGGATGGTTTAAGTGACGAAGAAACAGGAACACATCAGAGCCACAGAAGTCAGTTGGTCTCAAAGATTCATTTATTCCAATTTTGACAGTCACCTTTCACCTCAGTCAAGTTATCCAAACTTAGCTTGGTTCATTTTTAGAAGGTGGGGGGAAGCACATGATTGCATTTTATTACATACTACTTCATTTTGTTCTTAAATCTCTTTCAACACACACACACACACACCTCCCAGTATTTCCCCAGCACCCAGGACTCACTAACTTTATGTAAAGAAATTGCAAAAAAGGATATTTAGGTGTAGCCAACAATATTTTATTATCATGAACACTGACCCTCAAGTTGACTCCAGTTGAACACGGACGACTATGTGTATCACCACCCTTTCCTAAAACTCAAATGGTAGCAAAGGCCTGAACCCACAGGACAAAGAATGAAAAAAGACTGTAGCAGAAAGGAGAGAAAGAGAAGAGTAAGCATTCTCTCAAACTAGAGCTGAGAGAAAGCCACGGAAGGCACAGTCTTGGGTCTGTAGAGCCAAAGGAACCAGAAATGAACCAACTGGCCCTGCAAGACCCCAGAGATACCCGGAGGCACCTAGGTACACTGGAACACAGGGTAGAGGCCCCGAATGGTGGTTTGATTAGAAGTCAAAATAGTGTAGTAGACCTCTCTGCCCAGGTTTTATCTCCCACCCCTCACCGTCAGCTAAACGGCCTTAAAGAACAGGGGCTGAGCACAGGCACCCTCGGATCCTCTCCAGTCAGGGAAGGCTCTATGGAGACAGGCGTGAGCTAAAGCTCAAGGATGTGTGAGTGGGAGGTGGAAGGCAGGCAATGGGGATGCGAGAAGAAAAGGGCATTTGTGTTTCAGGTCCTTACAGTCTGTTTTAAGACTATACTTATTGGCTATGTATTGTCTCTGCAACTATTAATTAGGTTGGAACGCACCTTCTACGTTAGATCCACACTGATCAAGAGACAAAGCCTGATGAGATTCTCACCATGGAGGGGCAGGCCCTGTCATCTCACTTACCACACAGTCATACTCACCTAGCAAGTTTGCTGAGGCCAAGAACTTGCTTGTTAGGAAGATAACCGATGTGGACCTTCAGAGTAAGAGACAGAAATCGTAAGTTAAGTGAAAACAGTGCTTCTTTGTGACAAAATAAGGAAACAATACAGTACATTTAGGTAATTCAACACAATAAATATATCTTTAAAATATGTAGAAGTCTTAAGACTTAGAAAATGAAGCACATATATAAGCAGTTTTAAAGTTACATAAATGCAGTAAAAGGAAAATGTGTAAGAATGACTATTAACAAAATGACAAATGGCGGGGGAGCTCAAGTGGTAGAGTGCATGCTTAGCATGCATGAGGTCCCGGGTTCAATCCCTAGTACCTCCTCTAAAAATAGTAAATAAGTAAACCTAATTACTTCCCTCCACCAAAAAGTAAAATAAAATGACAAATGTGAAGTATAACACTTCCTAGGGAAGTTAAACACAATACAACTCATAGTCTTTCCTCTGTTGAGGGGAAGCATTCTCAGGAAAGTGCAAATTATCCATAGCAACATTAAAATGTAGCCGAGAAAGCCTTTAAATGTCTGAAACTGTAATTATAAATAGTGTCATTCCACACATCACAGTGGTCTTAAAAAATCCCACCCTGTTGCAGACCCTGTTGCACAGAAAAGGGTCTCTACGCCTTCTGTGGTGCTTGATGGCCCCATTTCTAAGCTGCTGGAGAACATATCTTCTTGACAGGAGAAAAAAGACACGTCTACAAACTGACTCAGCAAGAGCCTGAATCCTAAGACCTAAATTCCTGCAGGACCTACTATAAGCCAAAGCGATTTCTATAATCTTAAAAAGCACTGACTAACATCTAATATGTAAATATTATATGTCTTTCAGCCAAGTATTAAGCATGAGAAGACATCAGTTCTCCAAAAAGGCTAATAAATGGTCATTCATAGGCAGTGAACTTACCTAACATAAAAATGACTCATTTACATCATGGTTTGCTAGCATTTGTTGCATTTGTTCGCCTAATATTTACTTGAATAATTGATCTAGGAGTAATTAGTGAGTTTTTTCCATCTATTAAGCGCTGTGCTTTGGGAGTCTGAGAATACCAACTCATCGCCTTCCTGGTGACCATGGGAGATAGGTAAAGCAGCGGCTGAACACTGGGTATTTTAAAGAAAAATTAGAGCTAAAACTTTCCCAAAGAACCAAGGTCTTCTGTACAACTCGAAACTTACATACTTACATGCAGAGCTATAATTTATTTCCTGTGCTACTTTTTGTCTTCCTGAAGATCCTGTCATTTAGATGGCCGTTTCAAACAGTCATCACTGAGCAAGCAATATGTTTAAAAGCACAGAACACAAACACAGAGGTAATCATAGCAGAAGGTAAGAGAATACAGTGGAGAGGGGCTGAGAACAGGGTCCAGCTCCTGGGTGTGGCCCCAGGCAAGTCGCTACCTCTCCCCATCCTCTTGGACAAGTCATAGCTTTCTGGGCCTAACTTTCTCACTCAGAATAAAAGGTAGTGATGAGCTCGAAGGTTCCCTCATTCCTGGAAATCCTGAGCCCTGCTGTCCCAGGCCCAGCACTGTTAACTGCAGGGCTACCAGACCGTGCGCGCCTCCCAATGTGATGGAGTATGGAGTCTTCAGCACCCTGATGAACGACCTTGTCATGTCTGTTTAGCCTTAATCTTAGGAAGCTTTAGATCTAATCAAGTTCACAGAAAAATCCAGAGGTTGAATGGAACAAATCTAGACGTTGAGACACTCTATAGAACTGGCCTAGTTTCTTCAACAAGAAAATGTCATTGGGGTTGTGGGGAGGTGGGGCTGCCAAAGGAGATTATTTTAGAGTAAGAGGCTTAAGAGGCATAGTAACCAAATGCAATGCAAGTGTAAGTGTGTAACCCTTACTGGGATTCTGGTCTAAACAAACCAACAACAAGCTGAGACGCGTGCAAAATGTGAATATGGGTTAGATATTTGATGCTATTTAGGAATTACTATTAATTTTGTCTGAGTGCTACTGTGGATATGTAAGAAAATAATACTTTAAAGATATGTGTTAATGAAGAGTCATGTTGTAACTTTTTTGAGTTACGTTTCAGAGTTAATGTTTCTTAAAGAAAAAAATCCCTTATCTTTTAGAGAAACATGCTGAAAGAAATTATAGGAAAAAATATATCTAGGATTTGCTTCAAAATAGTCCAGTGGGGACATATAAGGACAAGATTGATCCTTTACTGATAACTGTTGGAGCTGGTTGATGGGAGCATGAAACTTTATACCTATTCTTATGTTCTGTAGTAAAGGGTTTAAAGAGAGATACCAATACATACACATCAGAATACTAAATTTAAGGAGACGAAGTGGGAAGTGCTAGTGAGGATGTGAAGTGACTAGGACTCAGTATATGAAGTATAAACTTGTACACCAATTTGGAAAACTAAAGGTCAGTATTTGGTAAGTTGAACACAGGTATACCCTATATCCCTGCCATTCTACTCCTAGGTATATTCCTAATAGAAATGCAAGCAAGAGGAGGATCAAAATAGCGGAGTAGGACATGGAGCTCCCCTCCCCCACCACAAACAAAAAATTCATCTACATGTGGACTGATTCTCACAGAAAACCACCTGGGAACTGGCAGAAGATCTCTTACACAGCCGAAGCTGCAAGAAAAATCTCCATGGTACCAGGTAGGATAAAAAAGAATGTATCAGGGATGGGACCAGCACCCCGGGGAGAGAATCTGTGAAGGAGGAATGGTCTACACAGGAAGGCTCTCACCCTGGGGAGCCGCCTTGCCAGCCGAGAGGGCTGCTGGGGCAGACACAGCGGCTGGAGGGGCCTGGACTCTGCTCAGGAGGGGTGTGCACGTGCTAGCTTGCTAGCAATCAGGACAGAGAGACTAGCACTGTCTGCTGACAGCTGCTGCCTCCCCACACTTCCCAGTCTAAATGGCAAGGCTGCTAGTACCTGCAGGGCCTGGGGGCTCAATCTTAGACAGGCCTTGGGAGAGGACTCCATCTAGCTGCGTGGGGACAGTCTGGTGGGCTTGGGGTGTGATCTGGGCCAAACCTTGGAGCCACTGTCAGTGCCTGCACCATGGGGGGGGTCTGGCTGCACAACAGACTGTCAGCATAGGTGGTGCCAAAGAAATCGTGTCTCTGGCCAACAGCCCCTGGGGAGGAATACCCAGTGGTTCCTTTCCTGGCTGGCATTCATACCGAAAACAGTGCTTGCACCAAAAATATTGGACTCACACAATGCACACGGGGATGCTTCCACATAAAGACACCCCTTTAAGACCACAGTAGATAAACTGTTTCTCCAGAATTCACAGAATTCATAGAAACAGTTAAGTAAAATGAAAAAGCAGAGGAGTTACTCCAAGTTAAAAGAACGAGAGGCTCACACGGACACCTCTCGTCTTTGTGGCCTGCTGCTGTCTATGGCAGTGTGCCCTAATAAACTCCTTTTCTATTTTCATACTTCATCTCTGGTAAATTCTTACCAACGTGCACATCACTGTGCCACCAACTGGCCCCCACTGTGTCCCACAACATTTGGTGGCCCATGTGGCCCTTTGGGCTTCTTTCTCCTCTCTCCCCTCTACCAGGATCTCCCCCTGGCTTGATGGGATTCTCCATTCTGGAGGCCAGAATCGTCAGGGCAGGCTTCCCTCTTTTGCTTTCCTTTCCTCTTTCATACTTTTCTGCTGTTCCCTGGCATTCGGAAATTCCCTGAAGTCTTGCCAGGGATTGAGGAACCCTGGCTGGGCTCTCTCAGCAGGCTCTGAAACTCTGACAGGTGGAAATGAACCCTGGCCTGTAGAGGTGAATGCACATGGGAAAGGTATCTTACCATTTCTAAATACCCTTCTCTCCATCTCCCCTTCCCCTATCCCTTCCTCTGACTCTGGCCCTTGAGACACTCCTTGGTTCTCGGGCCCAACCACGTGGTGCACCTCTCTGTGCCTTCCTGCCGCCTTTTGTGGATCACGTCTCCAGATTGGTCGTGCCTCCTGCCTTGGATCACCACACCAGGTAGAAGTCGCCAGTGGGTGAGTCTCCACCTTTTTTCTTTGCTTTTTGGCCCCTTGTGCTGGCTTTTCAGCCCCTGTGCTGGTTTTGGCCCTGCACCAGTTGGCTTCTCTTTCCTGGGGGACACCCAAAGTAGGAGGACACCAGAAGTTTAGACTTTCTCTTTCTGGGGGATGCCCCAGAATAGAGTCTGCACTGGTTTCCTTCTCTTTGCTTCTTCTATTCCCTGGAGCTCACCTTTGGGTTGCATTTTAAAACACTGGGATAAGTTTGATCCCCAGACATTAAAGAAAAAGCAGCTTATCTTTTCCTTTAATGTTGCCTGGCCCCAATTTCAACTTCCAGATCAGGAGACTTGGCCCCTTCATGGGACTTTGAGCTATAAAATAATCTTCCAGCTTGACTCTTTCTGTCCCAACCTGGGAAAATGGTCCAAGGCCTCATATGTCCAAGCCTTTATGGCCCTCTCTCAAAACTTGGATCTGGTTCTATAAGAGAGTGTCTGATTAGAACTTGTACTAAAGATGGTACAAAGAAAATAAAGATATTCTTTAGAGAAAATTGCGTAAGGGAAGCTCTTTGAAAATTCCAGAACTGGTTCTTTTTGCATATGCATTTAGGACAAAACTAGACACCTTTTCAAAATTCTGACCCTGAGAAAACAAAAACATTCCTAGGAGAAAAGAGATAAGAAAAGAGACAAAAGGCAAGCCAGGTATATGGCCTTTCTGTGCCAGGCCCAGAGGTGTAGCTCCAGAAATAATCCAAAACCCATCAATCCTTTGCCACTCCCAAAACCTCCCCTACTTACCTTAAGAGACTTGTAAGTATCTTGTAAGAGGGAAAGAAAAAAAACCTTTTTCTGATCCTAAGGGAACAAAGTCATTCTAGGAGGAACTTGCCTTGAAATGCAAATGTTCTACTAGGTCTTCTCAGAGAACCCTTATCTCACCATCTTTTTAAAATGCAAATTTTGAGAAAGGGGGCAAGGCACAGCCAACGAGAAGCTGTCCTGCCCCTG